TCTTCTTTGTATCCCTGATATCTGTGTATAGATTATCGAGGGAAACAAAGACGCCTACACCTCTGTCATAAAGGACCTCCGCCCTCCGATCGTCACCCGCTACGTCCGGCTGCTCCCCGTGACCAGACTGTCCACCACCGTCTGCATGAGAGTGGAGCTGTACGGCTGTTCATGGGACGGTAGGACACATAAACACACCGTTTCCTTGTTAATGTGCGTTTTCGTCAGCTCAACTGCCATTAGAGACTGTTTACGCTTCCTCAGAGACAAGTAAACCTCTTCATGTCAACATAAAAGCTTTTAATGTCCATAAACAACCGTTTTTCATCCACAAGCAACACTTTTATTTAACAAATACTGCTGTTTATCAGATCCTTATATCGAGCAAAAACAGGACTTGAATGATACGAGTGCGATCCTCACACTGTTGTCATGAAGGTTGAAAGTTTGCTGTTCTGAGTGCAGCTGTGGGATCTTATTGTGGTGAGATAACAGTGAAATGGGATGAACTGCACCTTTAACTTTCCACTCCTCCTGGTTTCAGATGGCCTGATATCCTACAGCGCTCCAGAGGGTCAGCGGATGCAACCGCCGGGTTATCCCATCGCCAACCTCAATGACTCCACATATGATGGAGTACACGAAAGGGGGTGGGTCTCCCTTCGCTGCACTTGTACACACGTCACATGTCAGCGTTTCCTGTTTACTGACTGCTTTGTCATCCGATAGGAAGCTTTTCGGCGGCCTGGGTCAGCTGACGGACGGCGTGATCGGCCAAGATGACTTCACACGGACCCACGAGTACAGCGTGTGGCCTGGCTACGACTACCTGGGCTGGAAGAACGACTCGCTGGAACACGTGGAGATGGAGTTCGTGTTCGACAGGCAGAGAAACTTCACCTCGATGAAGGTTTTTTATTTTTGCTTCCTCTACCTCATCAGTACTATGAACTCACCACAAACTTTGTCATAGCAGTAGTGGTTGACAGCACTTTTACATGTGCTTTTGCAATTACCAGACTTACTCAGAACCTAAAAATTGCCTCTGGTTCAGATCCGGTGTCGGGTTTCTCTAGTTTGCTCGGAACCATGTAGGCTGATGCTGACATGGCAGGGGACATGTTTAAACATGTTTGTGAGGACAGTAAATTGCATGCTACTATACTTGTGGGGGCCAGCGGTCACTTATGGGGACAAAATGCCCGTCGCCACGAGTTTGAAGGCATTTTGGAGATTCAAAATGTGGTTTTAGTGTCAGCGTTACAATTAGGTCATGGTTAGGTTTAGGCTGAGGGTTAGGCATTCATTTTTGATGGTTAAGCTTAGGGTAAGTGGCTAGGGAAAGCATTATGTCAATGAGATGTCCTCACTAA